GACAGGAATGGTAGGCCAAAATTTCAAATACAATAGCTAGTTACCATTGGAGTCAATTTTTTTATATTTTTTTATTTTTTTGGGCCAATTATTATTATTATTATTATTATTATTATGAATTTAAATTGTAGTTTTTAAATTTAATTTGTAGTTTTTAAATATAAGTTGTTGCTTTTTAAATTTACGTTGTTGTAGTTTATAAATTAAAATAATAAATTATGTTTGGCCGTATGACCATTTGGCCCTCGGTTGGAGATGGTTTTTTGTGACAGGGCTAAAATGAGCCATATGGTCATTTGACACTTGGTTAGAGATGAAGGCAAATATGACCATGTACTGTTTATTAAAATATTAATATCTTGGAGGGCCAGAGGGCTAAAATGAGCCATCTAGCCAGCCTTCAGTTGGAGATGGCCTAAGAAATATGGCCTTGTACTTTCATTAAAATATTAATTTCTTGGAGACCCAGATGGCTAAGACAAGCCCTCTGGCCAGAGGGCTCGTTTTAGCCCTCTGGCACTCCAAGATATTAATATTTTAATGAACAGTACATGACCATATATTTGCCTCCGTCTCCAACCGATGGCCAAAGGGCCAGATGGCTCGTTTTAGCCATGTCACAAAAAACTGTCTCCAACCGAAGAACAAAGGGTCAAACATAATTTATTATTTAAATTTAAAAACTACAATAACTTAAATTCAAATTTTAGTTTAAGCATTATTGTCGTTATAATCGACATGAATACATTTATATTAAATAATAACCGACAGGATTGGTGTTTTTTTTGGCCAGCCCTTTGGCCCTTTCAGATTCCGTGGGGCCCTCTCAGATTCCACGAGTCCTTTGGCTTAGCTCTCGATTAGAGACGATTTTCGGGCTATTTTCGGCCCTCTAGACCCTTCGGCCATCTCCAACCTAAGGGTTTAAAGGGCTAGAGGGCAAAAAATAGCCCGAAAATCGTCTCTAACCGAGGGCTAGGCTAGAGGGCTCGTGGGCCCCACGAAATCTGAAACGGCCAAAGGGCCAACCAACTGGCCTAATCCAACCGGCCAACTGGCTGGCCTAATCCAACCAGCCAACTCTGGGCTGGGCCAGAAATTCTAGTATTCCTGTCGAATATAATCGTCTGACAGGAATTCTAGGCCAAATTTCAAATGCAATAACTAGCTGACGTCAACTAGCCGTTATTTTTTTTTTAAATTAATTTTTTTACACAATTTTTTTCCTATTACTTCTATTTTTTTTCTATAACTTCCTATAACTTCTAATTTACAAAATTTGTTTAATATTTTTTTCCTATAACTTCTATTTTACAAAATTTGTTTCATATATTTTTTAAATTCTATTTTTTTCCTATAATTTCCTAAGCCATTATACAACATTAAATTCAATTAAGTAACATGAAACAACATTAAACAATATGAAACAACATTAAATAACATTAAGCAACATAAAAATTATACAACATAAAACTTAAATGCCTACTCCATGCTATTTTTGGCCCAAAGATGTGCAACAAGATCCTATTATAGGTACTTGTTTGTGGTACGGGAATGTATCATTCTATAGCACCTAATGTACTCATTTATAGAGATACTACAAGTTCTTGGATTGAAAGGCAAATTAGGCCCACCATATAATTTTGCACGAGCCCTTCTTGACCTATTTGGATCTTCTTGGTCATCATCGGACTCTCCATCAATATACCCATCTTGCTCATCCTGCACTATCATATTGTGTAATATGATGCAAGACATCATGATGGAGTCCAAATTTTCTAGACTCCACCCTTTTGTCTGTTCGCTAATGATCTTCCACAGTGCTTGTAGAATATCGAAAGCTCTCTCAACATCTTTCCGGTATGCCTCTTGGTGTAAGGTAAACAACTTTTCCGCATCATTACTAAGGTTTGGAATTGCTTGGACAAGTGTCGCCCATTTTGGGTAGATGTCATCTGCCAAGTAATACCCCATATTGTATTGACGACCGTTGATGTAGTAGTCAAGTTGAGGTGCTTTACCTTCCGTCAAGCGATTGAATAGGGGTGAATGCCCAATAAATGTAATGGCATTTTGGGGTCTAGGGACTCCAAAGAAAGCATGCCAGATCCATGTGTCATATGAGGCAACCGCCTCTAACACAACATTTGGCTTTCTCGACCTTCCGCAAAAGCCTCATTGCTATCCGGTGGGACAATTCTTCCAATTCCAATGTATGCAGTCTAATGACCCTATCATGCTCGGAAACCTACGATCTTCAGCTTTGCGAATGAGATTCAGATCTTCTTGATTTGGCTCGCGGAGGTACTCGTCTTTGTAAACCTGAACAATTGTGTCACAGAATTGTTCAAGAGTATCAAGGCATGTAGACTCAGACATACCATGAGTTTCATCCATTGAATCAGTAGGGGAGCCATAGGCCATCATTCGGAGTGCAATAGTAACCTCCTGATGAGGTGAGAAACCAGAGCGGCCTACTCTGTCCCGCTTTTGTCAAAAGTATGGGTTAACCTATTGGACATCACGAAGTAAACACTCGAAGACATGACGCCTCATCTGGAAGCGACGTTTGAAATCCTCTTCTATGTACACCGAGTTGGGGTTGAAGTAGTTGTTCATCAGATTGGCATGCATCATCGCTCTATTTCGTGGTTTGTAAGAGCGACTAGCAACAGAGCCACCCCATTGAGGTTATTCCTCAATTGGCTGACACACCATGGCTGCTACTCTATGTTGTTTGTTGCGCCTTACTTGAACTTCTTCATCAAACTCCTCATCTTCTTGTCTCATTTGTGCCCATTTTTCTTCCAATTTGGAATTGGATGAGGACCCCTAATTGGAATGCGAAGAGGATCCAAAGTTGGAATTCATTGCAAACTTGAATTGAAAGAGATGAATTCAAAGTTGTGAGTTATAGCCTAATATCCACCTTATTTATAGAAAAAAAAAATTATCAAATCCAACGGCTAGCTGATGTCATGCTGATGTCACTTAGCTGTTGGATTTGAATTTAAGTTGTAGTTTTTAAATAATAAATTATGTTTGGTCCTATGGCCATTTGGCCCTCAATTGGAGACAGTTTTTTGTGACACGGCTAAAACGAGCCCTATGGCCATTTGGCCCTCGGTTGGAGATGAAGGCAAATATGGCCCTATACTGTTCATTAAAATATTAACTTCTTGGAGGGCCAAAGGGCTAAAATGAGCTCTCTGACCAGCCTTCGGTTGGAGATGGCCTAAGAATTAGGAAAGGCTCGAGCGTATCCTGAAGTTTCTTCTCTTTGTAGCTTCTGTTCATGTGTTTTTGGTTGGATATTTTGCATTATTTGATTTATGTGTTTTTCCTTTCAGCTAGTTTTATTATATTTCTCTAATTGACCCAAAAAATGTGTTTTATGAAACCAAAGCATTATATCAACTAGCCTTCCTTAGCTCACCATTTTGCATGATGGATTGTTGTTTTGTAATGAAACTACATATTATGGATAGAGGAAGAATTTATCTTGAAAGACAATTTTCATAGTTGCAGTTTGAGCCATGATTATTAATTTTTGTTCAACTTCAATGTTGGAACTTATAAAGAAGTTTGGCGATTATGATATTATTATCTCAATCTTATTTTTGTTATCATGACTCCCCTACTCTCTTTTGATTATATTATATTATTTATAATTTTTTTTTCAAATTTCTTTCATATAGCTTAGAGGCCCCTCCTAGGAAGATTTCTAGCTCCGCCACTGAACGTGGGTGCATCATGTTTAGGGTTTACGGTTGAGAAGTTTGCTCTCCTGCGCATTAAAGGACGAAAAAGAATGGTTGAGATTTGAATAAAAGAGATTCAGTTAAATCTCAATGTTCGCTTGTGAAAAATGTACAGGCGAGAATTTCTATTAAGGTCTGTGCTTGATATTATCTTTTAGCCTCTATCTTTTTGGAATTTAAACAACTTGGAGCCAAATCAAATCTGTGATCAAAATCTGTGTGGAATTGACGTTCATTGGCATTGACTTTGAAGGTTTCAGTCTCCATACTCATGCTGTTCATTGAAATTTGAAATCATTCCCTTTTTTTAATCACACAATTTAATAAAGTGATGACCATTTTGATAACGAAAACTGCAATTTCCCACAAGCAAGCATCATCTTCCGAAACCACGCCAAGTCATATTGGGCAAGGGGTGATTTTTTTTGTCAAATTATTGTGCCAACCGAATTATCAACTGTACTACACTGATTTTGTGCCAATCGGTAACGTACTGAACCGAAGTTTTTTGGTACAATATTGGTATTCGATACCATTACCACGGTATTACCATACCGTACCGAAAAATATAAATATATATTTTAGTGTTTAGTACATGAAGTGTGTGTGTGTATATATATAATGAGTGTGAATTACATGAAATCTACTGGGATTTGTGTTGGTGTACTGCTGCCCGTGCTTTTTACTTTGTGCTTCTTGCATGCAGTTTTTTACTGTGCTTGCTACCTGCTAACTTCAATCAAGTATGATTAAATCATTTGAAAGGTATGAATTAGTTGCATAGTTGATGAAAAAAATTGAAAAAGTGGGCGTGGGTTGTGAATTTTTTTTTATTCAAATTTTGACCCAAAACAGTGACCCAAAATAAAATGGTAATTACTATTACCATACTATACCAACCGAAGTATTTGGCACACCGAACTTTGATAATATCGAAAATTTGGCACGGTAATAGTAATCGATTTTGTAATACCGAAAATTTGGTATGATAATTGGTATGGAAGTTTTACTGCGGTAACCGTACCAAAACCATCCCTAGTTGGGGCAATTTCCCATAGAGTTTGTGTTGACTCTTGTGTTGACCATTGACTGCCAAGAAATTAGAGAATGTCACTTCTGTAATTATCCATGCATTTCCAATAACTTATAGGAAATTCGAGGACTTTACATAATTTAAAGTGTCGGAATAATCAAAATCCAATATCGTAACATCAATAAAATATTAATGACAAGTCGAAAAGATTTTGAAAAATGACCATTAATCTTATTGGATATTTGGCATCAGGGAAAGCCAAGATGACTGCAAGATATAAACCACTGAAAAAGTTGAGTACATTGAGTGGCAATTGAAATTGGTATTGCAAAGCTCATGAGAGATCAAATGGCATTTCAAATGAAAAGAAAAGTTAACCGTGAAACGCTGCTGGTACACGAAGTCCGTCATAGCTCAGCTGTACGTCAAGACCCTCTGTCTCCTTCAATTTCAAAAGATAATCGTTCACCTTTTCATGATCCATCAGATGCATCATACCTTCATCAGTGCAGGCCACGAAAAGAAGCAGAATTGTTAAATTTCTATGCATTCCTCGGTACTAATTATAACGGTAACACCTAACACCTGATCTTCAGCAAAATGGGGCGAACACATACCAGTGAACAAAGTCTTTCTCGGTTGGATTTTCCGTACTTCCTCCAAAGCCTGAAAATGAAATAGATAAAACTTGAAGCTTACTGAAAATGAATTATTACAAGAAAGCACAAAATAGCTCACCCTTGGGAGTCCAAAATGCGTTGAAGAAGACCGATCTGGCCGTAAAGCATCCTGAACAAATTATTCGACATATCAACCCAGTCAGAAGAAAAGAGATGTCAGGCGTTTGTGAAAGAAATAGAACAGAAATAAACAAATGTGTGGGTGCACGTTTGTTAGAGTGAGGGGAAGGCACCAGAATCAGGAGTTCACAATCTTTCAGAAGTGGATAAGTTTCTTCAGGTATGTCACTAACGTCACTGTGAATGTAAACAAATGATTAGCAATTTAGTCGTGATGAACACTACACAAGCGATCAAAGTAGAGGCATAAAAATAGAAAGCAATGAGTGACCTGCATTTGAGGGAATAGAAGCATTACCTTATATAACAAACATTACCAAAACGAAATCCAAGGGAACGATAACCCTGACCATGCCACACAGGTAAAGGGGTAAACTGGGAACACAGCATTGAAAAGAAAATATGAGTGCCAAGTCATACAGCAGATTACTTTTCAGCCAAGTGACAATACCATCTACTAATATTTTACTGTTAAATTTCTACCAGTTTCTATATTAGACCTCACTCCTCTTACATGTCCCCGTTAAAAAGCATGGTCTAAATTTCAGTTTGATATGGTTGATATAAATTCTGACCTTCAAATCTTGTACTACAAATGGATCCTCACGTATGATATTAAATTGCAACTCAGAGACTGCAGCACCAGCAAGAACCGCCCTTGTATCCACCAAATAATAATGAGTCTTTTTCATTACCTGCAAATAACTTTCTCAGTATCATACACGTGTAGTGAGAACGGTAAAAATTAAGTGACTATGAAGACATAATTAAAGAAAGCATCAGTATAAGACCCATTATTCAATGGAATACAAGAAAGGAAGATGCTTGGACCTCAAAATCACGCTGGGCAACATAGATCGGGATGCTGGGTTGGACATTGTTTGTCCAATCGCGAAGATCATCCAGACCTGGAGACATATAAATAGAGCCTATGATTAATGTCAATATGTATATTAAAAGGAAAAAAGGGAATTTAAAAAAAAAAAAAAAGAGAGAAAGAAGATTAAAAAGATCCAAAGCTAAGTTTGTTAACTGTTTAAATAACAACGTTAGAAAGTGTTCATGACAGAGACCTCCAATTGCATCAGCATGCGAATGAGTAATAATAACCGCATCAATTGTTCTTATCCTGACAGAAATACAACTAGTTACTACAAGGAAAATACCAGAAAATACACATATTAATGGAAGCACCACCTTTAAGTATATATGAAAGTCCTTGAATACAAAGATCCTTTAGAGAAAAGAAACCGAAGAAAAAACATAGTTTTGCCACTTTAACAGTCCAAAAAGAATACCTTGAATTACGTCCAAATGATTCCAAGGAACGTAGAAAAATCAAAGCTACAACAATGATGGCTGGACCTACATAACATATTGTGCATATCTAGGGATACATGAGAGTTATTTTACAGTACAATAACACTAAACGTTTCATATGGCACTAGAAATAACCAAGTTTGAGGCGGATATTGAGTCCAAATCAGTCCTCAATATCAATGTCAGAAAGTTTCCTTATGTTGAAGTTTCCTTACAGAACACACAATGTTAGTATCTAGATCTTCTAGCAACTAGTCCAGATAATTTAGAAGTGTCACATGAGATACAATTTGAGATCATGAACTCTTATATGATAGCTTAAAGAAAAAAAGTTGAAGCAATAACTAACCCATAGGCAGTAAACCATTGGAGAGCACTGTGGTAGAAAAACCTGTGAAACAAAAATAGAAATTCAACTTTCACCAACAAAGTGTCTAGAAGTTTATCATCGAGGGACAAAAAATCTCAGTCATGTGTAACCTTTCTTTTTCCACGTTTAAAGTTTAAAGTTATAAATACAAAGAATTCTATTTGTATCTTCATTGTTAACAAGACAAACGACAATGAAACCATTAAATCCATTTTTACCAACCGTCTCATATTATGTAATGTAAGAATAACCTTGACTAGAACTATAAATTTCATTTTAAAAGTATTATTGAGGTAAATTATCCCTTAGCTTTGCCAATATGGGAAGCTCCCATCAACCCGCCTCATAAGGCTGCAAACGGGGTCCTATTTGATTGGTCGATCTTTGCCTTGTGCAACAATACCTGTGCCCTGTTGTGCTAAACTTATCCAGAAAATATGGTTCTTGGATGACACACCCACTCATATTTTACCATCAACATACTGCATATGAGAAGCAGATAGTTACGTGGATTATCTTCCATGCCTATCAATGAACTTAGAAACATATTTAGGTTGACAAAAGTCTTACTTTTTGCAAGTCTTAGATTTAAACTATGAGTATTTGATACATATTTCTTTCCAAGAAATCTTTGGTACACAACTGCAGAATTTAATATTTTTTATCCATAACCAACCACAACCATGAATTACAAATTTTTGAGATAAAGAAGTAAAAGTACATTCTTAGGGTAACATGCGCACAATATGCATAAAATTGATATATCACTTACTTTCCAGCATCTATAAGAATGTTATAATTTCCAGAGGGTCTAGGATAACGAACAAGGATGCTTGTGTTGAGCCTCTTATTTTTATTCCCTGGTTCCACAGCTTTCAAGCAAACCTTAAAAAGTAAACAAGCAATCATTTCCTTACTAATCGGATGCACATTTGATTAGAAATAAAGTAGCCAACATAAATCTTTGGATAGGACATGCCAAAATTACTTAAGCACAGAGGTTTCATAACCATACCGCACATGTCTTTAAAGGATTTGTGAGGCAGCTGACTCGAGGAATTCCTTCACTAGTACCAGTACCTATAAATATGATTTCTGAATGCTCACAAGGTGAGCCAGCGGCCGTAGTTTCTGAATCTGTGGTTCATTACAAAGTTAGTACACAACAGAGTAGAGCTCATACAATCCACAAACGGAGAACATTCAAATTTGTCTATATAGTAACAAAGCCCACTAACTTTATATATTCATCACCGTGCCAAATGCCGAGCTACCTTCTTATAAATTAGAACTATTGTTTTGAGTACGCATATTTAAAACCAAAATATAACCCAATTAATCAAATTTGAACCATTTGTTTCCTTCATTCATTGATTCATTCAAGGCACATCACTGCATATATCACAACTTCATTCAAAATTGCATACAAAAGTTTAGTTTCAAAGTTCAAACACAAGCTGCACAACTCAATCCCTTATCTGTTACCAAGCAATACAAGTAAAGTTTGGCGCCTAAAATCAATCCATAAAAATCATTCATACCTACAAAACATGAATACTGAACATCTACCGATTCAACGGATCAAAGGGCATTAGGATATCCACGGAATGCACAAAACCCAGAAAGAAAAAATGCAAAATATTGTAATCAGAGCAAGATAATTGACAAATCAGGGATGGCGGAGCTTACTAGATTGGAGGTAAGAGTTGAAAACTCGTCTGAAGGGAGAAAACCCATTTGCCGGAGCTTTGGTTGGAGGGCTGTAGAGTGAGAGCTGGCGTTTGTATGTTGCAAAGTAGCTCAGAGAAGGAGAAGGGCGAATGGTGCCCAAAAGTTGAACCATTTGCCAAAAGCCTCCTGGAAATCTGTAAACAATTGGGGAAAGTGTCCTTTTATGGTTATCTTTCTACTTGGGGCTTCGCTAAAATTCTAGCCATGTTTGGTTGGTGGTATGGTGAGAATTAATCGAATGGTTTTAACTTCATATGTTTCGGTAGTTTCCAAAAACGAAAAAACTTAATATGTTTCGGTTGGAGTCGGAGAATCAGACCAACGTTTTATTACAACGATATATTTTACATTAAGGTTATTTTTTTTTAAGTTCAACAATTATTTTACACTCAAGAGAATGAGAGTTCGGTTAAGTCAAACATAATGGGCAAACTAATTTGGTATTGAATTCGCTACCTACGAGATTCAAACCTCAGATCTCTCACTTACAAGTGAAGAGGAATACCACAATTAACTTTCTGTTTGATTAAGGAATTATAATCAATGAGAAATTAGGTTCTCATCACTCTTTTATCAACTCCATTAATTAAAACTTTATTCCTTTTTAATTTTTTTATCAAGGTCTTTTGGTTTTGATAAACGTCATTAATTATTTCAATAATAAAATATTTTACATTTCAAGATAATTAAATTTTATTTCTAAATATATTCATTTAATGTTACAAACGTTACATTTGACATATATATATATATATTTAAGTCTAAATTTTATATCATATATTTTTATTTTTAGTTTGTACACATTTTAATTAGCAACCCTGTTTTTAAATTGTATTTTTTTTTTTAGTTTTAGTTTGTACCCATATATTAATTCTTTTTGTGTTCACATTTTCGAAACTTTTATTTGTACTCATTTTTTCAACCTTTTATTTGTACCAATAATTTATTAATAATGTACCCATTTGTCTTTAAAAATGTACCACTTTGTTATATGTAAAAGGTACCAATTTTTTGTTTTTGTAAGTACCATTTTTTTAATGTAAAATTTACCCATTTTTAAATGTAAGACCTATTTTTTTTTTTTAATCTAAACTGTACCCATTTTTTTATATAAAATATACCCATTATTTTTTTTAATATAAAATGTACCCATTTTTTCATATAAAACGTACTACATTCTTTGTATAAAACAAACCAACCTTTTTTGTATAATTTTATCATAATGACAAATCAAGTCACTAAGATAAATTATACTTTTTTTATATAAGTATAATTTATTTTATTAATATTTTCAATCCCACAAATCATGAATTTTATTTAAAATCTCATTAATATAAGTAACTATAAATATCAAATTTTAATTTAAAATTATAAAAACCTACATAAAAATGCATTATTTTATTAATTTCAGGAACTTCAATAAAAAATTGAAAACTAATAAGGTTTTAATTAAAGAACTTTGATATATAAAGACTGCATCCAAAGTCACATTATAATCAATCTAAAGTTCATATTAATATTTTTTATACCTCATTTTTTATACTATATTTGTATTGTTTCTCTAATGAAAACGAGACTCACTTGTATTTGTGGACTTATCTTTATTAAAAATGTAGTACATATGTGATTAATGTAGCATTACTCTTGAGTAAATTAGCCTAAACCTTTCATCTCTTTAATGTAAAATATTTGTGCATATAGTAGTATTTTTGCTAGATACGATATACAAACATTGAAAATGTTATTTTTAAGAGGATTTACATCATAGTTGGACCCTGAAATTAGACCTTCCAATTAATAAGGTCTATGAAATAGAAAATCATCAATTTGGTTTCTGCATATGATTTCTTAATCAATTTGATCATTATGTTGTCTTTCTGTCAAACTATTTGTGATTGTGCTGATATGACACATAAGTAAATCCCTTTTACCTATCTAATCATATAACGTTACGTGGATTAACAATAAAAAAAATTGTTTCAAAAGGATTTAAATATTAAAACTGATAAAACAAATTAAAAAAAAAAAAATCATCGTCTTCAAGGAGCAGCTCTGACGACGGACCCATTAAGGCAGAAGTGCGGGAATTTGAGCATGGAGAAGGAAGAAACTGGAGCTAAACATTAAAAAATCTAATAGTGCAATAATACTTACAGGCAGCGAAATCCTCACTTCCTGTTCGCCTTCAAAATTTGCTATGGGCCTTGCGAGTAGGTCTAAGAATTCACATGAATATGAATTTGGAGATTCGAGCGTGTCATTACTAATTATCGCTAGTAGAAGGTATTTGAGTGATGAAGATTGAGCTTAATTGACTTTTAATCAAAAGATTGTGCTATTGAACAAGAGTAGTTCAACTTTAGGTTTGTTTGTCTTGCTTATTAAGGACTTTACTTATGTAGAAAACTAAAACACAATATGTAAAATAGTGAACTAAAGGCCTGACATAAAATTTCAAGATTCAAAGAGAAAGAGAAGGAGAAATTGCTGAAGTGTTGTAGTGAAATGACAATAATATTTCAAAGAGATCGAGATCTTGTATTGAAATGCTAGTAGCTATTACAAGAGAATTTTAAAGAGGAATACTTGTAAATACGACAAAGGTGTCATGAATTGAAAGAGGGCTTTGACTTTAAATGAAAAGCTTGCAATGTTGAATAAAGCTTTTGAAATAAAAGGTTACTAAATAAGATTAAGCTTTGAAAATGAAAGGTTGCAGCCTTTGGTTTTTGAGAGATGATATTAAAAGAAGACAACTTGATGAAATTAGAAGAAAATGAAAGCAAATAAGAAACATATTTTTGTGTTTTCTTATAATTTTTTTTTGAACAAACGATATTTTTTACACTAAGGGGATGGGGGAGTAGGCTAAGCCTCAAGTGAAGAGGAATAAAACTATATATTAAAAGTAAAAGAAATACAAAAATGCATAAAGAAAGGAGAGAAATAAAACTATGTTGTGGCTTATATTAATCTGACAAGGTTGAGAGGGAGGCACTGCAGAGAGAGAGAGTAGGGAGAGAGATATTTTTGTAGAGTTATGTAGATGATACGTTATTCTCCCTACGCAGTGCCTTTATTTATAGTAATCTGACAAGGTTGAGAGGGAGGCATTGCAGAGAGAGAGTAGGGAGAGAGATATTTTTGTAGAGTTATGTAGATGATACGTTATTCTCCCTATGCAGTGCCTTTATTTATAGTAATAAGGGAGAGAAGAATTTTTCTCCTCCAAGGAATACAAGTCCTAATAGGGAAGAATAACTAATATCAAATCTAATCTAGGATTTATACAATCACACTTAAATGCAATGTTTATAACACTCCCCTTTGAGTGTGTAAATACTCAAGTAAATTCGGCATTATGTAGAGTTGAGGAATTTGACTTGTTGACACTGATTCTGGGAACACGCTAGTCTTAAACAAAGTAGGACCTTGCATATGGAACTAAGTCTAACAAAAAAAAAAAAAAAAACCCAATAGCTATGGTAAAACCTGAGTAGGGACAAAACCCATAGTCTAAGGAAAAGTGCGTGAGTAATGCAAAGTCAAATCAAAAGTCTACGGGACGTCATCAGGGATATGATCATCTCAAGGTGGGTGCCTCGTCAAAACCTCGTTTGGTAGCAAAAACCTAAAGGGAAAATGCTCATAATCGTAGGGAAAAAGAGTACATTAAGATCAAGTAAGTATACTTCAGGATACTCCCCCTAAGTTCGACATAATTCCAAAGAGAACTAATAATGTTACAACTCAGAAAGTTTATGCATACCTATTCCTTGAACAAGTTTCTGAAACATCACCTTCGGTAGTGATTTGGTGAAGAGGTCCGCCAAGTTGTCTTGTGAACGGATTTGTGTGACTTCAATCTTCTGATGCTCTTGCTATTGACGTGAGAAGAAGAACTTCGAGGCAATGTGCTTGGTGTTGTCTCCTTTGATGTAACCCTTATTGAGCTGTTCGATGCATGCTGCCTTATCTTCATAGATTGTCATTGGGACGTCAATGACGGGGTAAAGATTGCAGGAGCTTCGAAAATGGCCCACAACTACTCTTAGCCAGAAGCATTCCCAAGTAGCTTCGAGTAAGGCTAGAATTTCAGCATGGTTAGACGAAGTGGCAACTAAGGTCTCTTTAGTTGACCTCCAAGATATTGCAGTGCCTTCAATGGTAAAGATGTAACCTTTTGAGAGTGTACCTTGTGCGGATTAGATAAGTATCATGCGTCGGCATAACCAACAAGGCAAGAATAGGTTCGAGATAGGGGGTGCAACATCACTCGAGGATTCATAGGGATAGAACAAGCCCAGATCCGTAGTACCCTTAAGCTAACGAAAGATGTCATTAACACCAGTCCAGTGTCTGCATGTTTATGCATTACTATATCTTGCCAAAAGATTAACAGCAAATGAGATGTCGGGTATAGTGCATTGAGCCAAGTACAATAAAGAGCCTATCGTACTTAGATAAGGAACTTTGAGTTCCAAAATCTCTGCATCATCCTCATTCGGACCGAAGAGATCTCGTTTTGCATCTAGCAATCGAACGACCATATGAGTACTTGAAGGCTTCACTTTATCCTCGTTAAAGTAGCACAACACCTTCTAGGTGCAATTCGATTGATGTACTAAGATTTCATACGAATGGTGCTCTATCTCGAGACTGAGACAGTATCAAGTTTTTCCTAGATCTTTCATCTCAAATTCTGGCTTCAAGTGCGCGATAGTTCTCTTGAGCTTTTCAAGAGTTCCGATGAGGCTCATCTCGTCGACATAAACTGCAACAGTCGCAAAACCAGAATGTGACTTCTCAATGAACACACAAAGGCATAGTTCGATGTTCACATATCCCTGACTAGCCAAATACTCACTCAAATGGTTATTCCACATTCTTTCAGATTGATTCAAACTGTATAGTGAACGTATTAGCCAAATGGAGAGTGTGTTTCGAGGTCTGGAACTATTTGATCTAGTCAATGTAAGTCTTTCGGGAACTTTCATATAAATTTCCATATCAAGATCCCCATAGAGATGCGCAGTTACTACATCCATAAGTTTCATACTCATTTTTTTGAAAACTACCAATCTGATAAGGTAACGAAAAGTAATCACATCTATAACGGGTGAATAAGTTTTATCATAGTCAATCCCGGGGCGTTGTGAGAAGCCTTACGCAATCCACTTGTAGCCAACGGGCTTCACATGTGGAAGAGTAGGAG